AGGAAGGTTATCACGCGGTTACATTGTATTCACTGTAGCGGGACAGCTTCGTGATTTGGCTAACCTTCTCATGCTTGGATTTTTGAAGGAAGGTTATCACGCGGTTACATTGAATTCACTGTAGCGGGACAGCTTCGTGATTTGGTGACAGGTTATCAGAGATTACCGCCAATTTACAAACCCGCGGTACAAATATTTGGATGTTACCAGAACGTTATACGGAATGTACATTTGGTCCAGCGGGGTGCGGAGGTTATCGGGCATGTACACAACCTCAGTATAACAGGGAGCGGAGGTTACCGCGCAGTTACACAACCGCAATACAGGGGGTCTGCAGTGTTTCAAAGTTACAGATCAGTTATTGGAGTTGTACTGCGAGATCAAACGGAGCAGTTATACGGCGATTAAAAATTGACTATAGCTCATTTATAACCGTACAGGGCGGGTCGACTATGGATCACATGAGTAATATTTCAAATATAAGCCTTAGGACCGATTTAGGTTATGTGTCAAGCTCAATCTCGTCTTACCTGCCCAAAATTTTTCCTCCCCAACCAGCCCGTGATATTCGCAAAAACGTGACGACAAGGCGTCATACAAGAAACGACAGCCGCTCGCACCCAACAAAGCCAGATCAATTTGGTCCGCAGCGACCAACCGCACGATTGAATTGATCAAACGGTCGTGATGAGATGAGCGGACAAGGGCGCGCCGAACCGAAAACGACAAAAACCGAAAAAATTGCAGAGTCGATTCTCATTTCTCCTTCACCTCGCACCTTATTCATTGCCCTTACGGGAGAAAAATCCCTGCTTTTCTTCTTCCTCCTTCGAACTCCTATAGATTTTATCTATTTGTTTGAGATTGAAGCCTGAGGATAAATGGGTCCAGGTCTTTATTTGGATATTGGCAAGAGGGCAAGAGGTATTTCCTTGATTGCTTGTTTAATGCAACCGGAATTGTTTGGATGGATTATGGAGGGATTACAGCTCCAAGGTTGCGTTTTTTTTTTTTTTGTTTTCAGATCTTCTCTACAAGGACTATCTTACGGACCAGAAATTTTCTCTGACGACTTACACTGCTACGGGAGTTGTGAGATTTTCTCTTTTTTTTTTCCTGGAGTAATTTGATTTATTTCAGTGATGAGCTCTTTTTACCCTATAAATTTGTTTGTATGGCGCTGTAGTTATTTACTGATAGGATTTCGTATGGTTTCTTCTTCCCTTTGGCGTGTAGCTTGCACTTTGTTTCGTCCTGTTTAGGTTTTTGTCTGATCAATGTGGGGCGATGCTAGGTTTGAGTTACGTTTTGATTCAGCAGATTCGGCATGCAGCTGAAATGTTGTTGTTTTTGCTGCTTGAGTTCGGTGTTTTTGGTGAACGGTTGTCATGGTTTCAAAGAGTGTTTGACATCTCTGAGAGGACAAATTAGAATTGTGAGTGAATAGTAGCATGGATTATTTGACTGCTTGAAGTTATAAAATGTACTTTGAAAATTGTTGATTTAGTTAATCTTGTGATTTTTTTTGATAAATTATTTTAAATCCTAAAAACACCTTCAAAATCCTTTATTTTTTTTCCTTAAACAAGTCTTTTATCTACAAGTTATCAATGAGGATTTGGTAAATTTAGAACAAAAAGATTTTCCTTATCAGAAGTCTATTGCATGGGAAATGAGAAAATCTATGCATAGTGCTGTAGGACGTATTTTGGACATAATTTAGTGTGGATCCTAATATGTCCTCAAATTTACAACACCAAGGAAACAATTGAATTAAGGAAGTGGTTTGACCTAAGAGAAAAAATAGGATAAAGTATGAGAAAAATGAGCTTCTTTACCATTCTAGGATCCTCCATTGTATTTCAGGGTTACCCCTATTTTTATTCTTAATCCCTCTCTATTTTCTTTTTTCAACAGGGACATTATATTTAATATTATCTTTGTTCGGATTCATGGATAATTATTTCTTATAAGACATCTTTCCTCAAACATTGCTTGTTGGTGATGCCTCTATCACTTACTTTTCCATAGGGCGAGTTGATCTACTTAGGCGAATTAATCTCATGGAGAGTACTGCCAACTTGGGCGTATATTAAGTTGGGCTTCTTTGGCTAGTTCTCGAGTTGCCTTAATCTGATTAGAGATATGTGTACTAATTGTCATAAGCAAGTTGTTGGTCATAACTATTTAGTTGAGTCGATTGATCAGTTGACCTGATTTAGCTTGACTATTTAGTGTTTATCATGAAGATGGGAAAGTGGCTTTGAAAAGAACATAAGAAAGTTAATTGTTCCAAAGGGGCATTGATTTTGTCTCATGAGTTGGTTCCTGCTGTTGGTTCCTGCTGAGATCCCATCCATTGATTTGCTGGCTACAATGTAGACTATGTCTTCATCAGCTTGGGCGCCTATGGAAGCGGCCTACATCGAATTCGGTTCAGGCTGACTTCAAATCATCCGAAGACCTATTTTTACCTTTACAAATATGATGTTGGTCATAAGATATGGCACTCACCAACATTTATGAATATTCATGTAATTGCTAATCAACTGGAAACTATTTTTACAATTAATTTCACATTCAACGGGTTCATGGGTGAATGATCATGCGGGGGATGAGCATGCCCGAATAAGTAATGCAGACGGGTTGAATTTGAGTGAATCATTTATTTTCTTGAGGGAAGGATTGATTTGGTTGGGGAGGAAGCCAAACAACGAGTTTGTCCAAAGAGAGTTTTCTGTTGGGTTTGTGGGCAAGCACTCGTTTTCTAAATGTACATCATTTTTCTCGTCGTTCTTTGCAGCGCAATAGTTAAATTTGTTTCTTTTATTGGCTGGGCATTCTCATTTAATAACACCAACAACAATTACAACCCCGACTCTTCGATTGTCTCAAGAGAAATTGGGTGTTGGAAAAACCAGGAAGAGAGACAAACTTTCCTTAAAGATGAATGTTTCTCACTAGGTTGAAGTTTTGCAACTACTTGCCTTGCTGAAACGTGAGTTTGTCGAATTGAAAGATGCTTATGGTACGCTAAGAAAGAAAAGGGTTGATCGAAGATCGGGGTTGCTGATTTGAGTGACAAGCTTGTCATGTTCCAAAGATATGTTGAGTTTATTAATTAGACCCAATTTATTGTCGGTGATGAGTTTGTATTAACATGGCTTATTTGTTTTGGTCAAATTCATGTGGAGGTAATTTTGGGCACGTGTTTTTAATTTTTTTTGGTGTGTTGTATTGTTCACCGCTTGTAAGACAGATGAATCATTTGTAACGATAAAAATAATTTTCAAATAAATGTAAGATTTGAATGTCTCATGATTTTGATATTTATTTGAGAGCCTTAATTACTTATTGTAAATATAGCATGATGTTTGAAATTAGTTATGTTTTTACCCTTGTGCCGATCACACCTCCCCTATTTAAAAACATCAGGGTTAGGTTTTAGAATTTACTTGCTCTCATGATGGCTTAGAATTTTTTTGTGGTAGACTTTTTTGTGTTCTTGTCATTTTCATCTCTTCAATCAATGATAGGTTCTACTCTTTGTAGTAGTTGGAAATCATTCACGGAGTTTGAGTCTTAGATAAGTCAAAGATATATGATGAAAATGTAGATCTAAGATGATAAGTGTTCATGGTCGACTCGTTTATCAGTTTGTCAGTATTGAAGAGAGGTCCTTGACAAGAATTTTGATGACAAGCTCCTATTTTTGTTGCGGTCAATTCAGGTTGGGCTCGTGCCTTCCCCTGTGTCTGGAAATGACTGACATATTCAACCATTAGAACATCATTCCAACACAAGTGTTGCAAACTCCTTTGTCGGAATTATCACGTTGATTTTGTTCATGATTAAGAAAAATTTTCTTGACTCTATAGGATTATTTTGCCCCCTTTTCACCATAAATGCATATATGGATGAGTTTGTCCAATTATTCAGAATGGGTCAAGTTTTTTGACTTTGATAATAAATTGAAAAATTTGAAGAGAAGGTACTACTTTGTTTACTCTTCAAAGGGGTGGCCGATTGGAACTTGGTCCCAACCTTATTCTTCACAACAAAGTAATATTTTGTTGATCTTGGAGGGGGAGGTAATGTACAAGCTTTTGTAGAACGTAATCCATCTATGAAGAATGTCGTGGATTATCTCTTCATGGGGAAAATCTTAGCTCGTAAGTCATTTATTTCTTAAGTATTGACTTCATTATAATGCGCAAGTTCCCATGCTTGTGACATCTTCACAAAAACTATCCTCGATAACTCACCTATACAACCAACCCTTGGAGGATGATATTGTATTGCTTGCCAAAGAAGGTGAGCAAGTTGCTACGAGTGACGGGGTAATTCATGTTTTATTTTCTCTTTTAAACAATATCTCTGCAAGTCTTTTATTTATTTGATGATTTCGACAGGTGAGGATTGGATTGTTAGGTGGCGAGTTTGATCTCCCAGGCGTGCCCAAATATTTGTTTTCCACATAAGCCTTATGAAGTAACTTTTTTGGAGGGGACTAACGAACTTATAATAATCTCGAGACAATGTTTCTTCTCAGACCTCCGATTTCCACATAAGCCTTATGAACTAATTTTTTAGGAGAGGAGGGACGAACTTGTAATAATCTTGAGATTATGTTTATACTTAGGTTGGCGCTAGGATCAACATGGATTGTCAAAGGTCGACGAGACTACTAGGAAGTTGGGTCTTAACAACTAAGCATGCCGTTGAGCGAGAGGGCCTATCGATGGCTTAGGAGGCTGCTAAGCAATTGAATAAAGAGGTTGTCAGATAATCAATGGTCAAAGTGGTAGCTCAATTAATGTCATCAGTAGCCGAGGAAGTCGCCAATCTGAGGGACAAGAAGGTCAAACATGCCACTGTACTTGAAAAGTAGGAGCTCTCCTGTAAGTGAAAGGGCAAGGAGGTTGTCATAGCTCTTGTCAATGATGAGCTAGTCCCTAAGTGGGCGTAGAAAGCTCAGGCTGCGAAGGCTTCACTCAAGAAAAAGAACTATTGGGATTTTGAGTTTGGACAAGTATAACTTGTCTGCTAAGATCAATCTCTCTACAGACTAGTATGTGAGAATGGAGAAGGCACTTCTCATTACAGTACCACCTTGGTACAACCATCAATTTGTATTTTCTGGAAAACATGTTTTAGGGAATGGATCGAGAAACTGAATCGTTTGTTGATAAACAGTAGTGTGCCAGATTTCATTTTCTTTTGTGGGGTCTAAAAGGAGGGTGACGATGAACCTTACCTATAGAAAAAAATTAAACTAACTAGCTTGGAGAAGGAACTCAATTAAGGGTTTGTTTGGCGCTGTTTTTTTTGCGCTGCGCGGGCCCAAACCGGGATGGAATTTCTATTTTTTTCATTTGGTTGCGAACTTTGCGGTCACACACCGTTAAAACCGGCGGAAAGCGGGCCGCAGGATCGACCCCGCAGCCCCGCGTTCGCGCTGCTAAAATTACCTCTTGCCCCACGCTCCTATGATTTCGCGAACGCTCCTGACATCGTCTCCCGAATCCGTCGTCTGTCCCCGCGTCTTGCCTGCTGCTCCCGAGCTTTCTCGCAAAACCCCTGGCCTTCTTCTTCCTCAACTAAGAATGAAGCCCAAACCAGGTAATCAAAAATCCTCTTCTTCGCTGGCTTTCAACCTCTTCTCAACGACAATAATTATTTGTATGGGTGTCTTTTCAACCATTTTCCTCTTCTATTTGATGAGTGTTTGAGCTTGTTAATGAAGAGGGAGGCAGAGCATCTGCCCTGGGAGGACTACACCAAGAGGCTGATGAGTGGGTGTATGAATTTTTCGATCAGAAGAGAGGCCATTGATTGGATTCTAAAGGTGCGATTTTTAACTAAGATTTGCTCATAATATTTCCATAGCGATCTTGCTCTTCATCTGTATGGCTTTTAGTTCATGAATTTACATTCCAAGATATTTTACTGTTTAGCGATCTTGCTGTTCATCCCTGTGGTCTAGATCTTTTACTGTTTTATGGTCATCTTTACATTTTAGCCCTATTCACTTCATCTATACTTATTCTTATATCTTTGTTAATGTTAGGATTTCTTGGCTTCCTGCCTTT